TGGATTTTTTTTCCTTCCCTTTGCCCCTTCATAACAGCCTGGAGGAAAATGTAGGAGAGGGGTTTGCCCTGTGCAGGGTGCTTCCCTGCCTCTGCTGTAAGCATGCAGAGGAGCTGGTGCTGTCCTGGTGGGTTCCCATCAGTGGTGATGGAAACTGCCAGTCCCTTTGCTGGATGATGCTCCAGGGACATCACCTGTGACAGCTTTGAGCCAGCAGGGAAATTGCTCACATTTGTGTTGTTGTGACATGCCAAAGCAGAATTGAAAGTCACAGTCTCTGCTTGAAGGGATATTTTCTTAAGAAGTTGCATGTCTGTCTAGAAATTTTGTTCCATGCATAAGCCTCTAAGAATTAATGAGAGCTTGGCTGCACAGATAGCAGTGCCACTCCTGAAGAAAAGGAGAGAAGACTGGCATGCCTCTGGGCAAGATTTCCATGCTTGCCTGTGCTGAGCTTCCAAGGAAAACTCCTTCCCACAGGGATGCATCCATGCAAAATTAGCACCAATAGCCAGTGGTGGCCCCAGGATCTGCTTTGTCCTCTCCCCAGCCCTGAGGAAAACAGGGATAGGTTTTACCTGCCTCAGCCCTCACCCCTCAGTGTGCAGGTGCTGGCACTGGGGAGCACACAAGTGTTGGGGCAGCAAAGGTTTGCTTGCTCTTGTGGAAATACTAGAATTTTCTAGAAAGCAATGTATTTGAAAAGCATGTGGAAGACAGAGCTTTGCCTTTTCAGAGCAACACGATTCTGGGGCTGCTGAGGCTTAAGAAAGCTGTTGGATCCTGCAATAGTCAGTCATGCGGGACTCATGCTGGTGAGGAAGGCTGCTGTCCCTGTCCCCTCTCCCTTCTAGCGCTACTCTGCTATTGCTTTTGGCTCCAGTCTTTCCACCCATCCACCCACCGGCCTTTTATTCATCAAAAGGTGTAGAAGAATTTGCAGCAAAAATAAATGAATTTATTTTCACCCAGCATCCATCCTCGTCAGCTGCGTGGGGAGAGCTGTGCAGCTCATGGCAGTGGGGGAGGCTGGGAGAGGAGGCTGCAGGCACAGCCAGAGGATTCCATGGCAGCCTGGGCAGGAGGGGAGGATATGTGGCCAGCATGGTGCCACTACTCTGGGGACATCCTTGGTGTCACATCCTTGGAGTGGTGTGTCAGCAGGTGTGTGGACTCTGAAGGCAGCCCTGTGCTGTGGGAGTTGGGTAGATGGATTAGAAGAATACCCTCTTTGGTCTTCCTATAAATTTAAGGGAACCATCCTTAAATTTAGAGCAGAAAGACAGTGCCATCTTGTGAGCTTTCAGGCTCTGGATGCCATCAGCTGAGCAACCATGTCTGACCTTGCTGTGAAGCATGAGCAAGCTGAAATTGTGTTCCTTGGCAGGCACATCACAGCCATTTAGTGCCTTTTTTCATAGGTGTGTGCATCACAAGGTGGTTTTTTAATGGAATGGTTTGGGTTGGAAGAGACCTTTCAGGACCATCTCGTTCCAACCCCTCTGCCATGGGCAGGGACATCTTCCATCAGACCAGGTTGCTCAGAGCCCCATCTAACCTGGCCTTGGGCACTTCCAGGGATGGGGCAGCCACAGCTTCTCTGGGCAGCCTGTGCCGGTGCCTCACCACCCTCATGGTAAAAAAACCAAATCTTTCTTTATTGTATCTAGTCTGTGATGTGAGTTCCTGGTGTCAACATTGTGTGGTGAGGCAGCAAGCTGAGGGAGAGGAGAGAGCTAAGGGAGGGTGGTAGTGGGTTTTCCATGTCTGCTTCTCCTCGCTTTTGCTTTTGGCAGCCCAGAAGGAGTCAGGAGAGAGTGCTTGGTGTTTGGCTGGGAGCAGATGGGGCCTCTGGAAAGTGCCTCCAGTGCTTCAAAGTGGTGTTCCCAGGGCAGCTATGGTTAAATGGAAGATGTCCATGAAGAACAGATCCTGGAGTGAGCAGGAAGGGCTTTGGATGACCACAGTGATGGGTTGGCAGAAGGTGGAGGCAAGTGAGGATGAAGGCAAAGGTAGAGATGCTGCCATGAGATGAGTATCTGGAAGGGCAGGGAGAGTTGTAGCTGTCAGGGTCTGTGTTTATCTTTGCAGCAGTGATTATTTTCAGATAGCATGTGAGAGAGTAAAACGTCAGCTCCTGCTAATAATAGCCCTGCAAACAAGGCTGTTGCTCATTACTGACAGCTGAGATGAAGTTAGTTTTGTTTCATCCTAGGTGTGAAAAAGTGCAAAAACAAGCTGTGCTCTGAGTCAATATCCTCAGCCCAGAAAAGGTCAGGAGGAGACCCTCTCCCAGCCCTGGGATGTGGCAGTGCCAGGTGCTTTTTCCAGGCAGCTTCCACCATGCTCCAGGGTTAAGTGCTGCTGGAAGAGTGGGTATGGTGAGGAGCTGCAGCTGGCTGGCATTGTGGAAAACATAGAATCATAGGATAGAATAGTTTGGGCTGGAAAGGACCTTTAGAGGTCATCTAGTTGAGCCTGGGTAAAAATCAGTCTGAGGACCTTCTTCCTGTGGAACTGGAGGGTTTTCCGAGAGGAGAGGAAGTCTCAGCCCAGGGTTGGCAGCATGTGGTGATCCCAGGACAGCTTTCAGGGGCAAGTCCCCATCCCAATTGAATGCAGCTGCTTGGAGGAGGGATTTGACAGCCCCATGGGGGAAAGCTGTTCCTGGGCTTGTTCCCACCTTTGGGAGCTTGAGGTGTCTTCAGTAGCCTGAAGGAACTGGCTGCTGGTGATCCTTGGAGCAGACACAGACACGAGGAGGACAGCAGGGTAGAAGTCTTGGGGGCTGATGGCGCTTGTGTAAAGGAGAGCTGAATACAGCTCTCATTGTTTGAGCAGATGTGTCCTGTCTGTGGCTAATTATAAGTGTTGTGTGCACAAAACACACTGGGACATTTGCCAGATACTATTTCTTTTCGTGTTGAACTCAAAATCATTATAATTAAGCTTTAAAATTGTAAGTAAAAACTAACAAGGAGTGCAGGTTTGCTGTCATGCTGCTTGTAACCAGGTCCAGTCCCTGCTGGGATGGACAGGGATGGGAGTATGGACAGGGTGGTCAGAGGGCTGGGAATGTCAAAGGTTTGGTGGCTCTGTGGTAGCGGGTGTGTCCAAATTTGGGTTTTAAATATTCAGAATACCTCAAAGTACCAGAAACGTGCCATTTTACAAATGTGGGAAGTGTTGCTGAGTGAGCTTTAGCAGCCTCTCAGGTTTGGTGGGCACAGAGAAGAGGTGCTTGCTGAGAGGAGAAAATAAGGAATAAAAGTGGGAAGTAGTCGTGGAAGCAATTGTGTAATCTCGGGTTGAGAGGAACCCAGGTTGTTTCTCTGGTTTGAGGGGAAATGAGGCAGACTTGCTGAAGAAGCAGCTCCGGGAGGACTTGCTGTGGATGGGGCTAGATGAGGGGGATGTGACAACTGTGCCACCAGCTGCAGCCCGCTGGACACCAGTTGATGGCTGCTTCAGGGCATGTTTGGGGGCTGCCCCAGGAATGGAGCCCCAGCTCCCCAAGTGTGGGGAAATTCCTGAACCTCCTGTTAGGAATTACGCTACAGGAGTGGTAGCAATGCGTGTAGGGTGAGAATCACTGTGACCCTTATGTTTGGTGTGCTCACCGTATGGCCAGAGGTGTGATGGATGGGCTGGGGAGTGAATTGGGCTCAGCCACCACGTGATGAGCACTTTAAGACCAGCAGTGAGCTCTCCACCCTGCAATTTGTATGCAGAGGGAGGCTGGCTGCTTGATTTCGGTGCTTGTAGGTGTTCGTCTGGGGTCGTGTCTGAATAAATCACGTTCTGAGATCCGAGCGAGCGCTGGGGAACAAGTCGCGCTGTCAGCGCGGCAGCGGAGCAGAGACATCTCCACTGCTCGTGATAAATGGGTCAAGATGGGCCCTGGTGTTTTAAAAATTAGCTGTTGACCTAGATAGCAGCAGCATGATGACTTGCCCACAGTGGGAAAAGAGTGAGTGTTGCTGGAGCTGCACATTCCTCTGAATGTGAGGGTGAGCCCAGTGTGCTAAGGTGAATCTGGGCTGGTTCCCTGCCCCTTGTTTGTAGCCAGCTTTTCCTTGGAAGCTGGACTGTGCCACAGGGAAGAGGGGAACACCAGGGGCATCGCATTTGGATGGCTTCATGGAGTCACAAGGTGCACTTTTCCTACTGCAGCTGCAAATGCACCTCCCACCACCCCATGCTTTGCTCTCCTGCAGTGAGAAAGTGTACTGAGTTGTCTTACTCATGTTGCCCCTGGTTTTTCAGGAGGGGTGGTCCCTTGCCCCCCTGGGCTGCATAACTCAGGTCTTACAGAGATGTGCCGTGCATTTGGGTTGGAGCAGTCAGAAGGGCTGGTGCAGAAGATGGGGCTGCTGCCCAAGTCAGGTTCTCTTCTGCTTCGCAGCTGGGAAGAAGCCCATTGCCTGCACCGGGGGTTTCTCCTGTCATGGGCTCTTCTTCCTCTGGATGAGAACATATTGCTCCAGAGCACTGAAAGTCAGTGCTTTTCATCTGGGCAAGAGACCTCTCAGTGCCCATGATTGGCTGCTGTATTGAAAAGTGGCTTTCTTGAGTTATTAAGCAACTGGTCAGGCCACACCTGGAGTACTGTGTCCAGTTCTGGGCCCCTCAATGATGCTGAGATGTTGGAGCACATCCAGAGAAGGGCAACAAGGCTGGTGAAGGGTCTGAAGCGCAAGTTCTGTGAGGAGCATCTGAGGGAGCTGGGGCTGCTCAGGCTGGAGAAAAGGAGGATCATGGGAGACCTTCTCATTTTGTACAACTCCCTGACAGGAGGTTGTAGCCCCTGTGCATTTTCCTTGGGAAAACAACATTTCCTTCACGTTGTCAGGGAAAGAGTGTTTGTTCCTTTCTTATGGAGGTTATTAGTCCCCAGATGTGACGTGATTTTGGACCCCAGGCCCTGCTCCCAGAGGTGTGTTTGACAATGGCCACTTGTCCGTCGGGGGTGACTCCATGTGCTGCTTTATCTCCCACAGGCTCCTGCTTCTGGGTTGCTGTCCTGGACGGCAATGTGGTGGGGATCGTGGCCGCGCGGGGCAACGAGGAGGACAACACGGTGGAGCTGCGGCGCATGTCCGTGGATTCCAACTACCGCGGCAAAGGCATCGCCAAGGCCCTGGGCCGCAAGGTGCTGGAGTTCGCCATGCTCAACAACTACTCCTCCGTCGTGCTGGGAACCACGGCTGTGAAGATGGCAGCCCACAAGCTCTACGAGTCCTTGGGCTTCAAGCACGTGGGTGTCGTCGAACATTACGCCCTGCCAGGGATGACGCGCTCCTTACTGGAGAGAATGTTTTTCCAGGTCCGCTACCACCGCTACCGCCTGCAGCTGCGGGAAGAATAAAAAAAAACCCCACCAACCAAAACAAAACAAAAAAGTATTTTTTCCCCCCTTCCTCCCCCTTCAAAAATAATAAATTATCCTTCTATTTCTCATCACCATTGATTTGCCAATTTTGGGTTAGAGTTTTTGTACCCTCACGTCACATTTTGGTTTGCTCCGTTCAGCTCGATGGGCCGGCCGAGCAGCGCCCCTTCCTCGCATGCTGTAGGTGGTGGTGCTGGGAGTCCTGCGACCCAGCGGGGCGGAGCAGCGGCCTCTCCTTCCCAAGTACCTCTGTAAAGCACAGAAACTTACTGCAAAATAGTACAACTGCTCTGGTGTACATAGTCCTCTCCTTTTCCAGGTGTAAGATAACATAGTGATGCATTCATAATAGTGCAGAAATATTACTTGAATGCAGTTTTCAGTATTTCACGCACCAGTAAGTAGAATATGCATTCCTCTTACCGTAACCTACTGGTTAATAGAGAAAAGGTGGGGGGTGCACCCTGCCCCTCCGCCCCAACCCGCTTGCTACAATGCATGAAGAGGGAAGCGCACGCACTCAAACACATCGCACTGCCACCATGGCACTGGTGTTGCACTTTTTTTGGATGTGCCTCATTCTGCCAAATGTGTGAGAGACCCCGGGTGCATCCGTAACCACGACTCCGCTCCAGCTCCCCCTCCTTCCTAAGCCAGCACAGACTCGGACCGGCTGAACTGAGCCCCATTGTACCATAGTGTGAAGTTAAAATCAAACCTAAGCATCTCCTGCGCTGTTCCGTAGCCACGCGTAACCTGCAGTCCTGGGCCAGACTCCGCATGTGCGTTGGACTTTCTCTTTGCTGCCTTTTGGGGTTTTTGTTTTGTTTGTTTTCATCTTATTTTTAAGGGGCTTTTTTTGTTGTTGTTGTTATTTTTAGTTTTGGCTTTTGCTGAATGGTGTCGTTGAGGCGTAATGGAGGCTGCAGTTCCTATGGCAACACATTTGCACATTAATGTGCGCACCAAATCTCACCACTTCAGAGAAGCAACGTGTGACAGATAATAGCATTTTGGGGAGCACCAGGGTGGGGGGGAGCGTACTTATTATCTTAACCAGCTGCTTGTTTGATAAATGTAGATGGCCTCACTGCAGCCTTCCATCAAAGGTAATTAACTGCTTTAATGATGTCAGATTTGTGAATTGTACAATGCAAAAAGCAATGCAAAGCAGATTCGGCATGTGTCTGTACCCGGTATGTATGTACAGTGCCTGCCAACTAAAGAATAACCAAGACTACAGCTTCTTCTAGCCTGAGATATCAACTTTTATAACTTATTTAAACAAATAGCAACTTTGCATGAATTACATCTTGGGGAAAAAGAAGACTGGTAGGTTTTAATTTTTAAAGCGTGGTATCAGAGGTATTACAGAAAACCATTTCTGGCTGCACTTAATTTCAGGTGGGTAGAGGGGTTTGGCTCTGCTAATACATTGAAAGGGAAAACCCCTTTATTTACTGGGAAAAACAATTGTAATTTTATGAAGTATTATGTGTGTGGTGAGGGGGGAACCCCCCAACTCACCGTGATGAAATTGGTGAAGGGGTAGAGCATGTGTTAACCACGCTTGTGAATACAATGGAAGAGTCAGCAGGAGAGCTGCAGAAGGAAGGAGCCTTGGGGTGTGGGGAGAGGACAGGAGCCCTGGGGCACATGGGGAGACAGACAGCACAGACCTTGGACATGGGGTGCTGTCTGTCCCCCTCCTACCCGGAGCTGCCCTTTCCTCTCCAGCCAGAGGCCTTCCCAGCACTGAGATGTGGCTGGGGGCGCTGATGGAGAGCAGGGGGCTCAGCCCATCCCTGCCAGGGCCATGGGCCAGGCACTGGTGCTGGGGATGGAGTAGCCATTTGGCACAACCCCAGCTGCCCTCTCATTGCTTGGTTTGGGCTGGGTCCAGCCTGTGAGGAGTGGAGGGGCAGAGTCCCAGCGTGTGTTCCAGCAATAAGGGCGTAATGAGGATGGTGAAGGACACTGTAGCAAGAGACCATGAGTTTAATTAACAAAATTTCTCTATGGGGCACTATATTTTTAAAAGTCTTTCTATGCTGTACATTTCTCCTGAAGCTGAAATAATGTACTGTTGGTAGGGGTTCTTGTATAGTGTACAGAAATCGGCAGAATATTTTCTTGCTGCATTCAGTGATTTATTAACCGAAGTAAAGCAGACAAATATGAAATGTTAGCAAAAGTTGAAAGAAAAAACACAAAAGTTTGTGCCTTTTTTAGTTTATTTTTCTGTTGCTATATAATCACTGCACTAAAACCTTTCCAGAGGGGTAAAAAAAACAAAAAGCAAAAACAGTCTCTTAATAAGGGAGGAATATGTAAAGTCTAAATTGAGCATTAACTTTTTTTATTAGGCTATTTAGTTAAACTAATGTTGCTGGTTTTATTTGATACCTGTGCCTTTGAAATAAAACTCCACATCCTGTCAGAAAATCCAAACCTGGAATAAATCCCACCAGATCCCACAGACACAGAAGTACCATCAGGTTTACCAGTATTTTCTTCTAAAACGTGTAAATTTTACCTGATGATATTACAGTATCTGTAATACCTGTTGAGTTTCCTGGGGAAGAGGTGCTTTGGGAAGGTGTGGCTTTGGGGGTGCTGTCTGCATTCCTCCCCAGCACATGGAAATGCACTGACAAGGATTGAGTTGTTGCCACTTGGCCGGTAGCTGCCAAGAAAATTTATTCTCTTAATGCTTCTGCCAGTTGCTTTGTGACCAGGCTTTTTGGAAGAAGTCCAGCTGGTTGCTCCCAGCTCTCCAGCCAGGACAGCTTGTTTCTGAAGGAAAGGGCCGGCTGCCAAATAGGCTGGGATTTGCTCTCCTTGGAAGATGGCGCAGGCTGCCAGAGCTGCATCCCTGGTGGAAGCAGTGGGACAGGGCTGCTGCCAAGGCTGGCCTTAAAAGCACCACATGATGCTGTTGTTCTGTCTGCATTCATGGGAAGTTTCCCTGAATGCCATAGCTCAGGCACAGCTCTGGGGTCAGGGGTGCTGGGTTCTGCCCAGCCAGGCTCACCTGCTGCCAGGGAAGGGTTGGGCAGACCACAGTGCAGCTCACAGGGTGACACGTGAGGTTGAGCTGCCTTTGGCCGATCCATCCCTCCGCTCTGCATCTTTCAGGTTTTAACAAAGTGCTTAGAAAAGATCAGCACAGCCCTTTCTCTGAGCATCTTCTCCTGACTCTCCCCATCCCAGCTCAGGGCTGGGTGGGTGAGGAGCAGCACAAGGTGGTTGTGGGATTGCTCCCAAGCAGATGAGGTGGTGAGTCCTTGAGTCTTGATTCCAACAGAGACCCACATCAGTGTGAGATGGGAGGGGATTTTCCTGAGTCAGTTTGGAGGTTTCTCTTTCCAAGGACAACATTGGCAGGAGTGTGTGCAAGAGTGGAGCGTGTCTTGGGTTTGAGCCCAAGGTTGGTAAATGTGGTGGTTAAGTAAGACCAGTTCAGATTTAGGTGGAGGATGCTTTAGACATGTGAAGGCATTTCCCACACTGCTCTTACTCCGCAGTGCAGGTGGGCTCTCACAGCCCTCGTGCTTGCCTGCAGAGGTGCAGTTTCCTCACCTGGTCGCTCCCTCCTTAGACTGGGGCTTTTTCTGCTAATCCCTGTGCACGAGACACTGCTCAAGTGTCCTTTGTTTGGAGGGGCTTGGGACAGAGCCTTTGTTCCCGGCGGAAAGCACTAGGTGTTATGTCCAAAAATTAAAAAAAAAAGAAAATGGGAAAGAAGGGAAAATTTGCATTACTGTGGCTGAGATCCACAGCCTTGGGGTTGTCCCAGCCCTCCAGCACAGCCTGGGCCATTCCCTGTGGAGTGAGTGGGAACTCCCTCCACATCCTGAGCAAACTGGCATCTCAAGCACATGTCAGATTTGGCAATAAGCTCTCTGGGAAGCTTGGCCCCTAAACACATCCAGTCTGATAATGCTAAGCAATCAAGCCAACAAAGAAAGTGGTTTCTAGTCTGACTTGAAACCCTTGAATTTGTATTTGTTGTAAATTCATGCTGTGTTTTCCCTCAGTGCAGCAGACAGCCCCTGCAAGATGCTTAGGAATGGCACCTGTGTCTCTGCTGGGAGATGCAGAAAAGTCCAGGGCATTGCCATCAGTGGAAAGCTGCTCTTTTCCCTCCCCTCTGTCCCTAGGTGGGGTGCTATCTCTGAGAAAGCCTTCACCTTTCTCCAGAAGTGATCCTGCTTTGTGGGGATGGGTGCAGCCTGCAGGACTCATTTCAGAATTGCCTTTCAGCAAATGCAGGGGGCAAATGACCCTGGGGACATCTGTTCCCGGGGCTGGGACCTGGGGTTGTTCTACCCTGTGTTCCTCCCCGTGGCAAATGAGGATGATTCTTCAGGCCATGCTGTCAGAATTTGTGTCCCTGGGGAGGGCAGGCAGGACCAAGGGCCAGCAGAGGCTGCTGGGGCTGGGATGTGCCTGGTGGGGTCCTGGTGCTGCTCACCTGCAGCACGAGCACAAAGGCTTTGGTGCCAGGGCTGTCCTGGGCCCTGTCCTTGCTGTGGCCACCTGGAAGAGCAGAAAGTCCCATGGTCAGAATTCCCAAGGGAGCTGTGGCTTTGCAGAACCTTGTCCCAGTCCTTGCTGCTGCTGTTGCTCACTGATCCACACCCGTGTGTGATGCAGGTCTGCTGCCTTTTAATTTGCCAGATTTGCTGGCTGAGGTGCAAATGGATAGAAACTGCAGGGACTTCCAAATTGCCAAACACACAAAGGCAGGAACCAGCTCTGGTTACCTCTGAATTAACAATCTCACTTTGGGTGTGCTGGGGCCTGTGTTTCATTAGTGCTGGTGTGATGCTCTTGGTATGCACTCTACTTAAAGCCTAATAAAGGCATTTTAATTGGACACTAACTGGAGTCTTGCAGTGGAATATACTGCACCACATAAAGAAAATGAAGTAATGCTAAATGTTAAGTAAGCTTTAAAATGCAAAAGGAAAATATTCTTTTTTTTCTCCCTCAAAATAGATCCACATAGAATCTTGAGGAAAAATTGGTGTGCTCTTGCATCCCTCAGTCATAGAGACTATGCAACAGAGCTAATCCCACCCACCAAAACCTGCTACCTGAATGGTGCTTGGGAGTATCTTTCATAGAAAGTAAATCAGGAGATTAATTTGGATAACTGAGAGTTTAGTCAAAACACAGTATTGTTTAAAATAACAAGCTCCAAGTCAGCATTTGGAGTTTGATCACAGTTAAAAGTCACTGTTCAGTGCTGTCTTTGTATTACACATGGTCACCTGTGGGAGAGAACATGCTTTTAACATCTAAATAGTAGAAGACAGACCTAGTGAGACCAAGAGCATAACAAATACATAATGCCACTGTAAATTTATTTACAAGTAACACATTTGAATGCAGAAGCAGCTACTCCTTTGTAAGTGTAATGAACTTACAGCTAATATTGTTTCCAATTTCTTTTCCTCCAAAGCTTAATCCTTTTGCCTTGTAATATGTATATTTGATTTTTTTAAATGTAATTAGGTTTAACAAAGCATCAGTTGCTTTGTGAGTTGTACTTATGATTGTGCTGGGCAGTTAGCTTTAAGCAGTTTGTGTGCTTGTGTTATTTTATTAAAGCAAAAGTCTTCTTGAGACAAATGCAGTAAAGGAAAAAAATAATATTTTTGGTAGTGTTAAGCAGATGCGTGGTATGCATTTGGAAAATGTCCAATGTCAGTTAAAAAAAACAAAAACAACAAACAGGCTGAATTGCTTCCCAGAACTGCTTGTGTTTAAGGCAGTGGCTTACTCACTCATGTCTAAATAAGAAACTTGGATTTCCCCAAACAGCCTCTTACTCTGCATCTCCTCCCCGTTGTACAAGACCAATGTGAAATGAGTCTTGTGTTTTCTATGTTCAGCATAGTATGTACTGTATCTGTAATGGGAAGTGGCTACAAGTCCTCAAAGAAAAATGAACACACTCTAAAACAGCAATAATTACCACTGGAAAGCAAAAGAGCACATGGGGGAGAGCCAGGGAGATGGTTCATGAAGGTGATGCTGTCAGGAGCACACTGTGTGTGTGTTCTGAGGGATGCTGTTGCACCTGGGGAGCAGGATGAAGTACAGGGAAGGCCATCAGTCTCTGGATCTGGGTGTCACCTTGGCAGAGAACCTGCCTGTGTGGGGTCCCTAGAGCTGGGGCATTGCCAGCCCTGATGCAGTGCAGGCTTTTCACCAGGTAAGGGTGAGTTACTGCAAATACCATTCCTGGTGGGAGAGACAGACATCAGGAAATGCTGTCAGAGTCACACAGAGGAAGGTGAACATTTACTGCCACAGCCTTGTACCCCAGCAAATTCTGCTACTGCACTTCTGGGGCTCAGCAATGGCAGAAAACAGAATCAGTTGCTTCCATTTCTGTGGAGGGAAGCAGGAGCCAGCTCGGTTGGAAAGCTCTTTGCATAGCATCAAGGTAGCAATGCAAACCATTCCCCAGGCGTGGCAGGCGCTAAGGTGGGTACAAGTTATCCCTTGGTGTGCTTCAGGCTTTGAGCTGCAGCCTCCCCAGCGTGGCCCCGTGCAGCCCCGGGAGCCAGGCAGCTCTCCAGGGCCAGCAGGGTGTCCCCAGGCAGGGACAGCTCTCCAGGGCCAGCAGGGTGTCCCCAGGCAGGGGCAGGCCGGGTGCTCTGCACAAGTGACTTGTAGGTACTTAAGTTCTGTTCCTGATGGCCGCTGTAACTGTGAAAATTAACCAGACCTGCTGTGATAAATTTGGTTATATAAGGTTTATTTGGTTAATTTTTTATAAGTGAAAACTGAAAAGATGAAAGAGAATTGTAATATGAAAGCAACTGCTGTAAATAATGTACGAATGAATAAAATCTAAAACTTATGTCAGTTTTTTCCTAAACTGTATTGCTGTCAAGTTACTGATGTGCAGATGGTGCCTGCATCTTTTCCAGCTCCCCAGCTCCAGATGGGCAGACACCACTCATTCCTGCTTCCGTTGATAACAGGGATATCTTTTGGTGCCTCATGCTTGTCCTTAGATTGTATTTCCAGGCTATTCCAGCTCATACTGCCTTGTCCAGAAGCTGCACACAGTAATATGGAGACAGCCCTGCCTGGGACCTGACTGCTCCAGCCACCTGCCTGGTGAGCACTCACCCCAAATCCCCCCAGGGATCAGAGGTGGCCCTGAGGAATGTGCCACTGGAGCAGAGGACACAGCAAAACCTCAGTGTCTGTTCTCTGCCACCAAGGCCTTACGGTGGTGGGGTGAGAGTTACTGAGGAGGAAGCTTCCATGGTGGGGGTGCATCCTTGGGGTTCCCCAAGCCACACAGGCCCCTTTTTCTTGCCTACACCTGTGCATTACCTTAGGTAGAAACCCATCAGAGGGCTGTCCCCACTGTTTGTTTGTGAAACCTCACAAGGCTATTTCTGACCCTCTCTGGAGCACCTCTGTGAGGCCAAGAATCACTGACCTCCCTTTGGGGTGGGAATGGGGCTCCAGCCTCCAGTCACAATGAGATGCATTTGAAATAAACTGATTGCTGCTGAAACAGCCTCTGGGGATGTCTGTTCCTGCAAAGCAGTTTCTGGTGGCAGTTATGAATGCTGCAGGAGTGCCCTGCCAGCCAGCAGCTGAGGGACACCTCCCCAGCACCGTGTTTGTCCCTGGCAGCTTGGCTGTGGGTCCTGCAGGCAGCACCCCAGGGCCATCATCCCCCAGCAGTGCAGCTGGGGCTGTGGGATGTGCAGGGTTATCTAGCTGAGCAGTCAGCAGTGATGTGGAGCACAAAGTTAATGCCTTGCCCTGTGCCTCTGCTCCTGTCACTTCCCTGCCCTACCCAGAGGTGCAGACCCTGATAGCTGTATCTCACTCTGAGGAGGTGAACACAAAACACCTCCTGGCACTGATAGCAGTGAGTTCTGGGATTCGACCTGGGGGCAGAACAGCTGTAAAATCATGTATGTGCACAAGCTTTATTTGATAGCAGATCTAACAAAAAACCAAAAAACCCTCCACCCTTAAAACTCCTTTAGTTTAGTTTTTAATAACGGAAAAGTGGCACCAAGAGCTGAGTTGGTTTTAGAAGCTGCTGCAGTGTGAGTGGGCAGTGTGCCTTAAAGCACCTCAATTAACTGCTAATTGGGTTCAAACTCTCCACTAGCCACACACAGCCACATCCCTGTCCTGGCTTCTTTCATCCTTTGTGGTGAATTTCTTCAGATAAAAAAAATTAGAATTCATGGAGAAAAGGACTCTGCCTCCATGCCTGTGTTCCCAGCACATATCTCGTGCTCTGGACCTCCTGATCCCTTTCCCTGTTGCTCTCAGCACAGCCACCATCTATGGACACCTTGGTGCCTCCTAAAAAGCCAAAGCAAAGCAGCAGCATGGACCCACTCCAGGCTGTCCCTCTGCCATAAGCATGGCCTCCCATCAGGGGTTTGGTGCTCTCCCACAGAGAGGAAGAAGGTTGAGGCTGGAACCAGGCAGGGAGGACCCCAGCTGAGAACATCCAGCCCACAAAACTGCTTTTATCTTGGGCAAACAGCTGCAAAATATTCCATCTGTCTACTGACCTATCCAGCTATCTACATCCATCCATCCATCCATCCATCCATCCATCCATCCATCCATCCATCCATCCATCCATCCATCCCCACCTTGTGTCAAGATCCCCACCTCTGCTCAGCTGTTGCAGAGCCTGCTTGGAGTCAGCTTGAAGTTTCCTTCATCTCCCAAGTCTTTCATGGAGCTTTCTGTGACATTTCTCTCTTTATTCCCTTAAGCATCTCCCTGGTCCACAGCCTCTGTTCCACAAATGAAAGTACCACAGTTACCACCTCTCCCATTTTAATAGATGAAATCCGCATGAGGGTTCACCTCACCCAGGGTGAGGGTGTTCTGTCTCAAAGATTATTTTTATTGCACTTATTTACAACACTACTGGCCAAATTTGTCAGGAAATCAGCCTATTAATTTCTCCATGGTAGGTTTTCATTCTTTTCTGAGCTTGATTGCATTTGCAAAGTCAATAAAGTAAATCCAGCACCTGATATCTGTTATAACAGAAGAGGAATGAGTGTTGTAGGAAGATGAATCTTCTCATCTGGACATGAAAGGCAGGGTCAGGTGAATCATGCTCCAAAAAGCACTCATTTCTCTCCATCAATAACCAGTCCAAGGCATGTCTAGACTACCCAGCAGTAAATGTCTATTCCAGAAACACCTAAGGTGAGATAAATCCTAACATGATGCCTCTGTAGAGAAGCTTAATTGCACCTGAGAACTCAGGGAAGCTGAAGGACAAATTATCATTTCTTCAACAGATATTCATTGGGGCTTTAAAGGTAAATGGTTGCAGTCAGTAACCAAAGATTAAAGACTTAACAGGGAAATATATTCCTGGTTGTTAAAAAATCAAAGGTTTGATGCTGTGGTAAAGACAAATTACTAGTGAAAACTCAGGTGGTCATTAGTGTGGTCCAGCTGCACTGATTATCTGCACTGTGGTTCCCTCTACCAGAGAGAAGTGTGAAAATCATTTGCTCACCACCAGTACTTATATTAGAATCTAATTACTTCAGTTTTTTGACCTATACAGGAAAAAACTGATGGGATAGGAAAAGAATAAAGAGCTGCTTTGTGTTTCTCTGCAGAGAGAGAAGTGCAATGGAAGAAAGGAACACTACAGCAAACTGAATTATCTTTCACTCCTTTGTTGTATGTTGTCACTCATATTTTGCCTTGCAGCAGCCCTGAATAATTGCCAATAAAAATCAACATCAGTTTTTCAATTCTGTTGTTTAGAGGCCATTTTGGTTTAGAGCTGCTGGGCTTACCTGTAAAAACAGAAGCTCCTACATCCTTCTCAGCTGAAGAGGCCATGTTTCTCAACAGGAAAGACTGATCTGTATGACGAGATTGGCTTCCAACATTAATTTTTTGTGTTTTTTCTTTTGTGGAAGCATAAAGAAAAAAAGACAAAAAAAGTAAATGCTTAAGTCTTACAGGTAGTGACTTTTTTAAGAGCACTTTAAGGAAGAGAAAGAAATGCTAGAAGTCAGTGGACCATTAAAAAACCTCCAAGTAATGTGCACTAGGAAGATATTTGGGCAGAGCATCAAGGGGAAGAGGATTCAGTACCGGACCAGAAGCCACCAAGTGGGAAGGATGGATCCTTCCCCCACCCTGGGAATTGTGAAAACATCAAAGAGTGAGGGAGGGAGGGATGACTAAATGGTTACAAATGCTGCTCTTGGCCTTTGCCAAGTGTGGAAGGTGGAGAACCCTCCAGTCCCATGGTGATGAACTCCTCTTGCTCTTAAAGCACGAGGAGTCTCAAACCTGCTGGAGAGTCATTACAAGGGGGAGGTCCAGCCTTGAGACCCAAGAAGATCACCCCAGGAAATGAATTTAGGATTGGATGCTCTCTTCACATACTGATTTACCTTTTTTTTTTCCTCCATGGATAGATGAGCTGAGCAATCCAAGAGGTGTTTGTAGGGTTTGGATTGCTTTGGCCTGACAACAGCCCCGTGCCTTGAACAATGACCTCATGCAGAATGTCAAACCTGCACAAAGAGCTGAACTTTCCCTCCATCCCAGCAGGTGGGTGAGAGGCTCCAAGCCCAGGAGAGTTTGTGCCTCTGAATGCAGGGGTGGGCAGGGCAGCAGGGCTCTGTGTGCAGCTGCCACTGTGGGCACATCCCCTCGTGGATATTCACAGACACAAGGGCACAGCAGAGGAACAGCTCTTCCTTCCATTTCAGGGCAGCACACCCAGAAAAACACCACCTAAAATAACTTCAAGTTTAACCACAGGGGAAAAACACACTGTGATTCTGCCTCACATTGCAGAGACTAGCATTCTGTTCAAAATGCTCTCTAATGCAAGAATGTCTAAAACATCACTATTACCCTGTATGCATGTCAATTCATATAAAAATTCAAATATATACATATATATATATATTTATCTATATATATATATATATATCTGTAATGAAGATACCTTTTTTCCTCTTAAGAATGATTATTATACACCCAGCTCTCTCACTGAGTCCACTGTAAGAAAGAACCCAACTGGAGAACTGGAGATCCTCCTTTTGCATTGCCAGGTGTGGTGAATGGAACTCAAATGACAGGCAAAATTATACTGACCTGTCCCTCTCTTCATTCCCATTAAGTTTTGCAGGGGTTAATGCACAGAAGAAAAAAGGTAGCTCTGTTCATCAGATTCTGTTTCAGATAATGTTAGATGGGACATCAGTGTCTTGGGAGAAGTGGGGAACTGAAAAAAGGGTGAGCAAATAAAAAAAAATTTAAAAGGGAAAAAGAATGGAAAACAGAAAATAAAAAGTCAACCTGATAGCTAGTTTCTACAAATACAATAGTGTGAAAACTTTCCAGTTTGGTTCCCAGACAGGAAAAATTTGTATGGCTGGCACTTGGGTACATTAAACTGCAGAACATATCCATGATAGCTTATTAAATTTTCACAAGGCTGAGGTGTTTCTCACTGATGCTAGATCTGGGCTTTTTATCATTGCAGTATTATTCTCCTAAATGTCAATTAATACACTAGGATTATCACACACCATCTCCTTCAGCCTGGCCTTGGGGAGGAGAACTGCAGTTCCCCTTCATGCTTCAGCTCTATTGCAGTGTTTAAAACCAGTATTTGAGGTTTTGGGCAGCCTGGCAAAAATCCCTCCCTGTGACTTGCAGAAATTGTGCATTTAGTGAAGGCAGATGCTGTTTTTTTCACACTCCTTCTAACAGAAACACAATAGATTTTGGTATGGACAGCAATGCACTCTAGAAACACAAAGGACATAATTCAGCTGGATAAACATGAGGATCTACTATCATTTGAGACAGCCTGTGTTCAGATGT